GTGTTGTTTTTTCAGATGGAGTTTATTAGGCTTGAGTGTGGCAAGGATTATTGCTGAAGCCTTCTTTTTAGCTTTATCTAAACTTACATCTTCCCTTATGATAAAAGGTGAAAGCATCAAAATGCCCTCTTACACACACACTTAGGAAATGAGAATAGGATTATTAGGATATTAGACTTCCATGAAGTACCACTTAAATATGCAGGACCGCCAACTGATCCCATTTCGTGTTCACCATGGGAAGATAATTTCAGGAAGTAGTGACAGGGAACTTTTCTCCATTTAAGTCTGAATGAGTAAGTATTTGCATGAGTTTAATCCTCATCACTTATTAGATAACAGCGCAATTCTACAGGTAGAAATGTATATTGCTAACATTTTATACAAGCTTCTTGTCTCCCAAGTTTATCTCCCTTCCTTGCTCCATTTCTATGTGTGACATTTTGCAGTGAGCACCCAATAGTTGAAATGATGTGACTGAAGTCAGTGATTGTAAGATAATTTCTCTGCATCCTCAAAATTCTGTGCTTAGTTACTATGCCTACTTCTTTTCATAGAGAAAAAATACATAACTTGGAAATGTAATTGACCTTACAAAAGAAAAATGGGTAGATGCTGAAAAAATTATTTGGGTTATTGTGTTGTTGAAAGCAGTAAATCTTTTGAGGTTAAAATAACATATTTGCCTGGGCAAAGAGTTTGTGAGACCGTATCTTTGAAAAACCCTTCGTAAGAAAGGGCTGGTGGAGTGGCTTAAGGTATAGTTCCTAAGTTCAAACCCCAGTACCAAAAAAACCCCCATAAATATAACAATATAATACTGTGTGTGTGTATATATATATATATATATATATATATATATATATGACTGCATTGTTTACATAATCATTCATGCTTAGTTCATTTTCTTTTTATTTTATTACTACATATTTATTAGATCGGGTAAAATACAACATAGTGAAAATAGTAAATGCTGGTGAGGATGCAGAGAAATTATACATTGTGTAAACTGTTAGACTGTAAAATGTCTGAAATATAGTTTGTCACATTCTTAAAAAATTCATTTAAGGTATTTTTCTTATAGTGGAGAAAGCTTAAGGACTAAAAGAAAATGATTCAATACTGGATCCTTAGGGTGTGAGAATTTGTAACCACACAGATAAAAGTACATCACTAATAAGTTCTGATCTACAATATTCCAATTAATTGACTTCTCAGGAAAAGCATCTCAGCCCAATTACTTTCCAGTCTGCTCTGGTGGTAGTGGTTCTACCTTTTAAGTTTGATTAGTAGATGCTGGTCTTTCCAGTGAATGATATTGATAATTGAAGTAAATGCCAAAGTTGATACTTTCAGTAAAATTGATTTTCTTCCAGACATATAAATGCCAAGCCTTCAGGGGTTTTATGCCCACCAAATATAGAAGTTTTTCTTTTGATTAAGAATTTAATAAGAAAAACTTTTATTCTCATGTATTTTAAGTCAGACACTTAGGTAGACACAGTGTTGTTACATGTATAGAATTACATGGAAGTGCATTTTAAGAAGCAGGCATACATAAAGTTATACTAATCAAGACACTGTAGTATTGGCAAAAGAATAAACAAATGGATCTATGGAACAGAATAGAGAGCCCAGAAACAGACCCACCTAAATATAATCAAATGTACTTGATCTTTAACAAAGAAGCAAAGGCAATACAATGGAATAATATGATCTTTTCAGCAATTGATGCTGGAATAACTGGATATTCACATGCAAATGAATGACTGGATACAGATCTTACACCTTTCATTAAAATTAACTCGAAATGGATCACAAAACTAAATGTAGAATTGGAAATTATACAGCTCCTGGAAGATAACGCAGGGGAAAATCCAGATGACCTTGTGTTTAATGATTTTTTGTATACAACACCAAAGGTGCATATCATAGAATAAAGAATTGATAAGCTGTATTAAATTAATTTAAAATTAAAATTAATTTTTTGTTCTGAGAAAAACACTTTCAAGAGAATAAAAAGAGATTATCTTCCACAGTACTTTCCAAGAAAATACTTGGAAAATGCATGTATAATAAAGGACTGTTACCCAAAATATATAAATAACTAGTTAAGCTCAACAATGAGAAAATAAGTAATCTTATTTTTAAATGCTCCAAAGACCTGAACAGACACCTAACCAAAAGTATATATGTGGATTTTTAAAAAGCTGCACCACACTGTCATCAGAAAAATGCAAATTGAAACAAGGAGATACCACTATGCACCTGTTAGAATGGAATATTATTCAGCATTTACAAAGAAGGAAATCCTGCCATTTGCCACAATGTAGATGAAGCTAGGGGCATTATACTAAGTGAAATAAACCAGCCATCTGAAAGAAAAATATTGTGCAATCTCACTTACCTATGGAATCTAAAACAGCCAAATTCATAAAAGCAGAAAGTAGAAGGGTGGTTTACAGAGGCTGCAGGAGCAGGAAAAATGGGGAAATGTTGGTCAGAGGATGCAAAGTTTCAGTTATGTAGGGTGAATAAGTTCTAGAGATCTAAAGAACAGCATAGTGGCTAAGGTTAGTGATACTGTATCACAAACCTGGAAATTTTCTGAGACTAGACCTGACGTATTCTCTCAGAAAAGGTAACTATGGAGCTGTGGAGCTGGACATGGTGGCACATGCCTGTAATACCAGTGCATAGTATTACAAGTTCTGCTTCCTGAGGCAAGAGAATTATGAGTTTGAGGCCAGCCTGGGCTATATACCCTATCTCAAAAAAATAAAAACAACAAAGGTAACTGTAGCTTGACTGTAGTTATCATTCCACATTGTATATGTACATCAAAACATCATGTTGTGTGGTTTAAATATATTGGCTAAAATCCAGAACATTGACAAAACAAAATGCTGGTGGGGTTGTGAAATAACAGGATTCCTCATTCATCATTGGTGGGAAAGCATAATGATACAGTCACTTTAGAAATTTCTTACAGATCTAAACATAAGTTTATCATACAACCTAGCAATCACATCCCTTGGAATTTTCCCAAAGGAGCTGAAAAGTATGTCCATATAAAAATCTGCCCATGGACATTTATAGCAGCTTTATTTATAATTGCCAAACTTGGAAGGAACAAAGATGTACTTCAGTAGGTGAGTGAATAGATAAACTGTGGTACATCTGGATAATGGAATATTATTCATCACTGGAAAGAAATGAGATGTCAAGCAATGGAAAGACATGGGGGAAGAAACTTAAATGTGTATTACTTACTGAAAAAAGCTAATCTGTGAAAGTGTACATACTGTATGATTCCAATGATCTGACTTTCTAGAAAAGGTAAAATTGTGAAGATAGAAAAGGACTGTTGGGTGGGAGGGGACAGGGAGAAGGGATGAACAGATGGAGCACAAAGGATTTTAGATCCATGAAACTACTCTATATGATACTGTAATGTTGGACACATGTCATTATACATTTACCCAAACCCATAGAATATATTAGTGAACCCTAATGTAAACTATGGAATTTAGATGATAATGATGTGTCAATGTAGTTTCACCAATTGTAATAAATGAGACACTCTACTGGGTGATATCAATACTGAAGGAAGCTATACATGTGTATAGGGAGGGAGGTATAAGGGTATTCTTTGTTCCTTCTGCTAATTTTGCTATGAACCTAAGGATGCTCTAAAAAGTAAAATCTATTATATGAATAAATGAATAAAAAATAAATACTTCAAGAAAATTTTTAAAAAGAAAAGCAGACATGGAAGGTATTAACACCCCAATTTTATGGATGAGAAAACACAGCCCAGAGAGGTTGTCATTTTCCCAGTATAGACTGGTAAGGCAAAAGTCAAACCAGAGCCTGACTCTTAGTTCCTAAATCAAAGTGCTATTTCCTATTCCTCCTTGTGTTTATGTGTAGAGGTAGTAGCAGCCTGTAGTAAGTGACAGTATTTCAGTTTTGACCACACAGTCTGTGCTTATGGTGGTAGTCTAGTTCTTGGATAATAGAACTCAAGACCAACATGATACCATGCTCCATTTAAATGGGCTACATCTTGTCTCCCCATACTGCTGCTTTTTTTACATACTGGATCAACCCATTAGCCATAAGTCATTTTAAGAAATAAACAGTCAGAGTTGAGACTTCTTGAAATGCTAAAGCCTTTCAGTCCAAGATGGATGAACTCTCAGCAACAATGAGATTCTCATTTCTTCATCTCTTTGCAGAATTTAAGAATGCAAATGAAGTGAAAATTCTATAGTCAGTATGTAAGTGTGAAAGGGCCTGTAGTAGACAGGAACATACTAAGCAATTTATTGTAGAGTGCCTTCAGTTTGTAAGGAAATACCAGACATGATCAATCTCGACTCCCCAGAAGCATAAGGCCAAATGATAAAACAAAGCACACCATGTAAAGAACTCTTCGTATTTGTACTGAGGAAGATGGGGTCAGGAAGGTGTTTTAGTTTGAATTGCCTCTGAAGCAGAGCCTGATAGAGGGATTTGAGTCCATGTGTTTTGAAGGGAAGATATAATGAGCAAGAGAGAAGAAAAATGGGGCAGGGAAGGGAAGACACTCAGTCAAGGGAACATTATTAGATGAATATCACAATGAGCAACTAGAAGTTAAATTTTATGAGGAGATTTAATGACAGAACACATGCCTCAGGCTCATTATACCTAAGGGGTGAGAAAGGTTACTTATATTCTAGATTTTGTTAGGACTGGAATTGGGATACTGAGGGCTCTCCCAGAGCTATTAATTCACTGACACTTCAGCCTGCGAGAAATGTAGGTAGAGACGCTTTTTGTAGTTCTGGAGTAAGTCCTTGGACACAGTGGGGAGATATTGACAGCTGAAAGTCTGTCTGTGTATGTAAAACAGAAAAATCCAAGAACTATGGGAAGGGAACTGACAGAGTATCTGCCACAGTAGGATTCCTGGGAAGTGAGACTTGACAGTGCTCTTTCTCTTCTCTCCCCAGGCTTCTTCATGACCTTGTCTCTGCTGTCCATTGTGTATGGAGCCTTGCGCTGCAACATCCTAGCCATCAAAATCAAGTATGATGAGTATGAGGTCAAAGTGAAGCCTCTGGCCTATGTCTGTATCTTTCTCTGGAGGAGCTTTGAGATTGCCACTCGGGTCATCGTCCTGGTCCTCTTTACCTCCGTCATGAAAACCTGGGTGGTGCTCGTTGTACTCATCAACTTCTTCAGCTTCTTCTTGTACCCCTGGATCCTCTTTTGGTTCAGTGGCTCCCCATTCCCTGAAAACATAGAGAAGGCCCTCACTCGGGTGGGCACCACCATTGCACTGTGTTTCCTCACTTTACTGTATGCTGGTATCAACATGTTCTGCTGGTCAGCTGTGCAGCTGAAAATTGACAACCCTGACCTCATTAGCAAGTCCCAGAATTGGTACCGACTACTAGTGTACTACATGATAAGATTCATAGAGAATGCCATTCTCCTTCTCCTGTGGTATATTTTCAAGACTGATATCTACATGTATGTGTGTGCACCTCTGTTGATTCTGCAGCTGCTCGTTGGGTACTGCGCAGCCATTCTCTTCATGCTTGTGTTCTATCAGTTCTTTCACCCTTGTAAAAAGCTCTTCTCCTCCAGTGTTTCTGAAAGCTTTCGGGCATGGCTCAGGTGTGTCTGCTGGCCTTGCAGGCGGCAGGAGCCCTGTGAGTCAACAGGAAAGACAGACCTAAAGTTATCCACAGACCGAGATGAGACACCTTCTAGCAGTAAAATTAGTCCTGAGCCCACTCAGATCTTAAGTGGTGATGATCTGTGCTCTGCTTAATGGAAACAGAGGCTTCTCAGCTCACAGGCATATTGTTTTCTGGGTTGATACTTGTTCTTCATACAAATAATGAGCCCTGTAAAGGGAAGGAAGTTAGCTGTCAAGTACTTGTGAGCTGCTGCTCTTTATAGAGCTCATTGGTATTTGGGAGCTATGGGAGATGGGAGGGGAAGCCAGGGAAAACTGAGTGTTGAAGGGGTAATCTAACAACACTACAGTTCACAGGTAACCGTGTTTTGTTCATTCAGGCCTTACTGGATTTTTCACTGGTATAATACCAGCGAAGTCTGAATTGGGTGGCTAGATCCATCAGGTAGAATAAGGAAAGGGACTTACTTGTTTTCTAGTTTTCTGGACTATGGATATGGGTAGTCTGATGAGTTATTATCCCTGAACATAGTTGTCACCCAAGAGACATCCTGATGACCAGAGAAGGTTCCTAGGGTTCTGCCATCAGCAACATCATTCCTGTCACAGTTTACAGGGACAGCTGTTCAAGTTTGATTTTTAAATAGACATGTGTTCCATTTTCATCTCATTAGGTCTTTTTGTACATAACCAGTTATAGGCACCCTGGCATGTTATTTGTAATTGACTTAAGAGCTTAGATTTTGATACTAGGATTCCTAGGATCCATGGCTACAAAATTGAATTCTAAATTTGGTTATGGAAGGCCTAGAATTTTAGAAAAGTTGTGTTCCTTACATGTTTTAACAAAATTGTTGATCATGAGAATTGTTAAAAACTCAAAATAATGGAGGTTTATATAGGAGAATTCTTACCTTTCTTGTTAACATTTGAAAACGTAAATCTGTTAGAAGATAGGCTTAAACCTCCTTAAGGGTCATTCCTGTCTTATAATTCTAGGAAATTTCTAGTACAATTTGCTAAGATATACCTTTTTCAGAAAGAAGAAAATAAAACTCAGTCTTCACTCCTGCCTCCCCATTCCTTGTGTACTAGGAAAGTTTTAGACAAGAGATACCTCAGTTAATTTAAGTTTTTCTAGAAAACCCTACAGAACTCTCTCACCCAGTACAGGTATATAGGCATTTTTCTTTTTATTACTTGAAGGAAAAGTGATTTCCTCACCACCACCTGTAGTTAGAGATTGACTTCAAAAACATTTTAAATTATAGAAAGAAATGAGATGACCCGAAGATTTTTGTCCTTCATGAAATGCATATTGATTGGCATTGTTGTGAGTTAATTTGAGTAATACATCATGTTTTATCTTCCTACACCATTTTACATTCTGAATAATTTTTCCTTTTATCTGGATTCTGTTTTTTCCATTAAAGAGGATTGTGTACCATATGCTCAATTGTCTTGGAAAAATGCCTGAACCAGTGCCATTATTTCTACCACTAACATGTTGATAATAAAATACCTAGAGACAGGGGATCATAAAGATCACATTTACTTAGAATGAGGATTGGAACAAAATCTGAGAAATTTCCAAAGGGAATCTATTTATGGATTGTACCATATTCTGACTATGCGGACCTACCAAACAAAATTATCTTATAATTTTCCTTTCTAATTTTTCTTGCTGTCAAATTTATAAGTAATTTCAAATACAGAGATGAAAATGCAATTTGGAAGATAATTTCCACTATATTCAGGGATACATGAAACATTAAGTAGTCTTTCACAGGACATCCATATTATAGTTTTTATACAATTCCATATATATGATGTATATACACATATACATCATTATGGTCCTAAACTATAGAACCTAAATTTTAGTTCTATGAGATATTTTTCCTCATTTGAATTTCTCCTGGTTTATCAATATTTATGTTTTAATTTTGGGGAATGACCAAACAGTAGTTAATTTTTTGAGTATTTGTAATGAAATAAAAATAAAACTCATCAACTACCACTTGCCCTAATTTTAATAGGCCTAGGTAAACAGAGAGCATTCATAGTCAAAAGGGTCCTTGATATGACATATACTTCCATGTACTTTCCATGTACATAGATACACAACTGTAATGGTGAAAAACACTTTTGAAAATATATAACAACAGCAGGTAAAATAAAGATGCAAAAGCATCCTTCATTGAGTGTTTCCCAATCAATAATAATAATGATTAAGAGAGCAGCAAAGCCATTCCTAAATCTAATTAAAGTGTTTCTTTCTATTAAACTAGTTCATTGTGTTTATTGCCACCAGATTATTTTCAAGCTGTTTTATAAGAAAGGTAGTCTTGCCTTGAAACTTTGCAATGGCTGAAAGCAATGGTGCCCCTTTTCCATATGAAATGCCTTCAGGTCATGCCTTGTGAGTGAGGAGTGGGCTCAGCCACCAGCCTGTCACTAACTAGGCATGTTCAGAATTGAACAAGGATGCAGAGACTGGTATTTCCCATGCTTAGTTTGGAAGTTTGTTTCAAAAAACGTTACAAAATCTTCATTTGCAAGTGTATGGTAAATCTCTATAATTTACAAGATAGGTAAGCATCTTAACTGACCCCAAAACAAACCCACTACACACATTTATAAGGACAGAAGTTTGGTAACTAAGTTGAACATTCTGTCAATTTTAACCCTTGATATACATGTCACCCAACTTTGGGGACATCAAAGTACCTTCACTTTGGAGGAGAGAACTCACTTCTTTTTTTTTGCATGGTGAAAATATAAGTCACAATGAACTGAAAATTTTTGTTTTAAAATTATTTTTATCTCTGAAATGGCAAAAATTGCAGTTCATTCTATGGAACCAGGTTGCACTAAAGATATAAAACAAACAGCAAATTTCCATGTGTTAGGAGTTAAAATGTCTTTTCCAGTTATTATTCAAGTTTTCAAAACTCCTCGTACTTTGTTTAATTAATCACATACCATAACATCCTGACAGCTGCTCCAAATGAATCACTATCATTTAGCTGGATGAGATGAAGTATTTTCTCAAGATACACTGAAATAAGATCATCAAACATGTTTAGATTTTCTTTTGTCACTACTAAAGACAGCACAGTATAGAGATTGGCATCTCCCTGTCCAGTTTAATTGCTTAATTGCTTTATGCCTCAGTTTCCTCACCTACCAAATGAGGATGACATGCATGTCCAACCTACCTCACAAGGTTATCGGGAAGATTAAATGAGATAATAGATGTGAAAATGCTTTGAAAGTATTTTTAAAGTGCCATGCACAAAGACTTATATTATTCACACCCATAGGAGATTATTATTTTTTTACTGTTGGAAAAGAAGTAAGTAGCATCATCCACATGAGTGTCTCAAGTGAACATGTGGGCCTTTGGCCTTCTCAACAGTTGCCCTTTCCTTTACCATCATTCCTTACAAAAATTAACACTCAAACCTATGGTATTTAGAGGAAAAAGACTTAATGAATCTGAGAAAGTGCTTCTGATGTCAAATGAGCTTATCATCTTTTTACTGTCATTCATAAAAGATATAAAAGCATATTTTGATATTGTGCATTGCAACTTGAATGACTGATTCAAACCATTCATTGAATGTGAGTGTAATCTTTTCAGCCTTGTAAATGGGAAAATAAGCATTAAAATTGATTGTCAGATACAGCATTTCCTTGGAAACCACCTTAGAACATTAGTGCTATAGTTACGAGTATATGTGCCAGAACTTAGCCAATGCATTGTGGATGTGAGCTTTTGTGGACTGCTTTTCGGAGTCATTGACTCAAATATTGTTATGTTTCTTCATATAATAAATTAATTTTTCAAGTTCTCCTTGCATTTAATTCTTTGTACAGTCCTTAAATGACCTTTTTACTTCAGGGACTATTTTAAAGACAAATTTGAAAGTGGTTTTGTTGTGCTTAATTATAATTTTATAACCTCACCTGGAAATATCTTCTGTAGAATGAGAAATTTAAGAATACTAGGATTCAGCCTTATATGACAGCAACTATCTTATCTATACGTATGTATGTATGTGTATATATATATATATATACACAGAGAGTGTATATGGAGAGAGTATACACACATATATCTATATCTATATCTATCTATCTATATATATGTTTGTGCATGTGTGTATATATAACATTTTCTGGATTCATTTAAGTTCTTTTTATATGGTGCCTATTGTGACTAGTGCTGTAGTAAATATGGGAGTGCATGTTTCTTTAAGATCCTGATTTATTTTGGACACATTCCCAGAAAGATCATATGATAGTTCTTTTTTTAAATTTTTTGAGGAGTCTCCATACTGTTTTTCATAGTGGGTACACCATTTTACATCCTCAACAGCAGTATACAAGTGTCCCAATTTCTCCACATCCCCACCAACATTTACCTTTTTGTGTGGGCAGAACAGAAGTACTAATAGTAGTAACAGTCATCCTAACAGGTGTGAGGTGATATCTCACTGTGGTTTTGATTTGCGTTTTCCTGATGATTAGTGATGTTGACCTCCTTTTCATATGCCTACCTGTTGGCCATTCATATGTTTTCTTTGGAGAAATGACTATTGGAGCCCTTTACCCATCTGTCAATTGGGTTATTTGGGGGAGTTGTTTTGGTTTTATTTTGCTTTTGCTATTGAGTTGTAGTTCTGATATATTTGAGAATTTAACCCCTTATCAGATAAATGGTTTGAAAATATTTCTCCCATTCTGTAGATTGCCTTTTCATTCTGTTGATTTTTCCCTTTTTTGTGAAGTTGTATTTTAAAAGAGATCTCTTGGTGTTAAGAAAACTGAATATCAATAAGTATAGCATTCAAGAGCATTGATTTAAAATTCCTTAATTCAGTGTTTGTAAATTTTTTATTCTTTTTTGGCAGTACTGGGGGGTTGAACTCAGAGCCTCATATTTGCTAGGCAAGTGCTCTACCACTTGAGTCTCTCTGCCAATCATTATTATAAATTATTATTATTATTATTATTATTATTATTATTATATTTACATAGAGTCTCACTTTATGCCCAGGCTGGCCTGGTCTGCAGTCCTCCTATTTGTGCTTCCCCCACTTAGCTAGGGATGACAAGCACATGCCATGCCCAGCCATTGGTTCAGAAGAGGTCTTGAACTTTTTGCCTGGGTTGACCTCAACTATGATCCTCCCAATCTCTGACTCCCCAAGAAGCTAGAAGAGCCTCAAAAACAGTGAAGGATTTTTTCATAGCCTTCACCCAGATTCATCTATTCTTTCTCTCTCTCTCTCTCTCTCTCTCTCTCTCTCTCTCTCTCTCTCTCTCTCTTTCTTTCCCTCTCCCCCTGGAACCATTTGAGATCATGCTACAGCCATCACACCCCTTTTCCTCTAAGTACTTCCATGTGTTTTTTTCCTAAGAACAAAGGTATCTTCTTATATGACCACAGTACAATTATCAAACTTGGGACGTTTAACACTGATACAATTCTTGTATCTAATCTAGGTCCATATTCCATTTTAACAATTATACCCATGACTTCATTATCAGCTCAGTTCTCTTCTGTGGGATTCTCCTTATTTATAACTATGAGTAAATTTTATGTTCCCCATGAATGGTGGGAAGTCTATAGCACACTTTGAAAAATTATCTCAGGAAAATACCTACATGACATCAGTAGGTAGCTTAAAAATTCATAGCTTAAAACCATGAATTTGAAATGTTTATTGGCAAACTGGGCAATTCATTTTCATGGATAGCCATTTTAGGCTTCAAATGTTTCCCACTGATTATGTGAACCTGTAGCTGTCTCTCCGCCCCAGCCCTGCTGTGACAGGTGTTTATACTGTCTGGACCCAGGGTCATAAAGATTTAGGAATAAGGTGAGGGAAGCAGGTATTATTCCTCTATGACTGTATTTCTCTGGGTATCTACCTTCCAGAAGACTATATTTTCTTTTTAAAATTTTTTTCTAATTGACACATAGAAATTATACATATTTATGGGCTACTATGTGATTTTTTTGATACATGTATCCATTGTGTAGTGTTCAAATCAGGGTAAGCATGTCTACCCCATCTCCTCAAACACTTATTTCCTTATGTGAAAACATTCAAAAATCCTTTCTTCTACCCTTCTGGAAATACCTAGTATGATACCCTACTGTACAATAGAACATCAGAACTTATTTCTTAAAGAGATTATATTTTCTATGAACATCTTTTAACTGAGAAGACACTCAGAAATGCCAATTATACATTATAATTAAACAAGTAACATTTTCAGCATTTTCTCTTTTCAGGAAAAGGCACTTCCCACAGCAGATATTTGTATAGAGTTGGAAATTCATAAACCTCCAATTCCTTGTTGTCCCAGTACACAACAAACCAGGCAGACTAAGTCTCTGATGTGCTAAGATAGTGAGTGCTGCAGAGGCATGCTCTAGGGAATGCCTTCACTTCCTGTCACCCTCTCAGCATGATTGCTTATCTGGAAATTATTAGGCCAAGGGGAATCTCAAACAGTATTGATTTAAGCAGATTTTGGAGCCCAGAGCATTTTCAAGTAGTGTACGGCAGCACACAAGAGCATCTCTCTGCAGCAGGGTCTCAGAAAATTTCCTGCCCTTACTGTACTGTGGAAACAATGTGAAGGAGTTGCAGGATTTGCCTCCTCCCAAAGAGGATGGATTCACCCAGACAGATTTGGTACTTCTGCCTGTGCTTTTGCTCCCTGCCTGCCTCTACCCTGAATTAATTTTCTCTCTCAGAATGATGAGTTCCTGATTGAAATCTG